CCTCGGAATCTTCTTATCTCCGGGTGTTTTTTCGGCCGATTTGCTCGTCTCGTGCTGCTTCGGGGCTGCTGTGCTGGTGGATTTTCCCTCCGGTTTCAAAGTTGTGACCGGACAATGTTATATGAGATGTGGAATTTGCACAGTATGCAGGTTAGGTTGTGACCGGACAAACTAGTCGAGATGGAGAAATTTACACAGAATACAGGTTTTTTTACCTTAGGTTGTGACCGGACAAACAAATCGAGATGGAGAATTCTACAGAGAATACAGGTTTTCCTACCTTATTTAAACGGTCGCCAGTTTGTTTGACCTTCCAACAAGCAAGGAATATTCACGATCGGTACCTGTTCGGTCTGCCGTCGGATGAGATGCTCGGCGTCAGGATTGCGCTGCTATTAACGCCACTGCTTATCTGCTTGGCTGCTTGGGAAATTTTCCTAATCCCTTTCTTCTTTTCTTATTTAAACGATCGCCAGTTTGTTTGACCTTCCAACAAACAAGGAATATCCACGATCGGTGCCTGTTTGTTCTGCCGTCGGATGAGATGCTCAGCGTCAGGATTGCGCTGCTATTAACGCCACTGCTTATCTGCTTGACTGCTTGGGAAATTTTCCTAATCCCTTTCTTCTTTTTTGTTTCAGGTCGCCGCTGGATTCACCGGATCAATGCCCATGGATGTCTGGACTACCCACTGGATGAAAACTGTTTCGACGCCTCAAGAATACGTCGGAACGACGCTATTTGTGCAACGCTAGACAGTTGGACAAATTTCCTCATTCGCTGTTAATCCCTCTCTAATTCTGTTTCAGGTCGCCGCTGGATGCCTCGGATCAACGCCCATGGATTATTGGACTACTCTCAGGATCAAGCTGGATCGACACACGGACACAAGAAGAGGCTTCGCGATTTCGAGGTAAGTAAATCACTCTTACTTTACTTTTACTATATAAAAGTATAAATAATATTTTAAATATAAATATATAAAGCATCTTTCTTTGTTCACAGAAGTTTTCCGACTCTCCACAACTCGGAGATATAATCGCGCTTCGGTGTTAATTTTAAAAGAATACTAGTAGTAGTATATCAAGGAGAGTTCTAACCCAGACCCTCTGAGGGGGGTGAGGGGCGAGGGGAAACCGGCGCGGGGATGTGACGTCACGCGGGGGACCGCGTCCTAACCGGTAGGCGAGGGGTCCGCGGAGAGGGGGGAAGGGGACCGCGTCCTAACCGATGGACGAGGGTTCCGCGGAGAGGGAGAGGGGGACCGCGTCCTAACCGATAGCCGAGGGACCCGCTAACCTAACCGGTAGGCAAGGGGTCCGCGGAGAGGGGAAGAGGGACCGCGTCCTAACCGATTGGTGAGGGATCCGCGGGGAAGAGGGAACGCGAAGGTACGATGCCGCGAGTAGGTGTGAGAGAGATAGCGCGAAGCGTCCGCAATGTGTAAGAGAAGGATAGCGCTAATATATTCTATGAGCGTGGGAGAAGGATAGCGCGAGGCGTCCTCGCAAGGCGGTGTGAGAGAGATAGCGCGAGGCATGCACTTGGGAGAGGGATAGCGCGAAGGAAGGATGCACTTGGGAGAGAGAGAGATAGCGCGAAGCATGCACGCGAATGATACGGCGTTCGCAAGGCGGTGTTAGAGAGATAGCGCGAGGCATGCACGCGTGTAGGAAAAGGATAGCGTCCGCATTGGCGTGAGAAAAAATTGATTTGTCTCATTATTCTGTACATAAAAGTATTACGGTAAGATTATCAAAAACTAAATATTTTATGATATATTTTATTTTTTTTATTAAAATATGTCAGATTAAAATATAAAATAACTCAAAAAGTACTTAAAGAGGGAAACCAGTGTAACGGCTTAAAAAAGGCTATTTTTAAGGATTTTTTTCTGGTAAATAATTTTTTCTGGTAAATAATTTTTTTCCAAATCGCGTTATTAACATCACAAAGTACATAATTTGAACTACCTTTTATGAAATTTTCGTTAAAAAATAATAATATTTATAGCTACAATAGCCAATAGTGTGAGCCACCTTAAAAAAACGGGCGCACGCGTAACGGGGCAACGAAAGCTCCAAAACAAAAAAAACAAGGATTTTCTTAAAATATAAGACAATAGCTTCAGTTGCACGTATGGATTTTTTGATTGCATAATTCGTTTTTTTGTAATGTTAAAAACCAGAGGTCAATGTCTCACCGATTTAGGATTTTTTTCTTCAAAAGTCCACCATTTT